TGGATATTGCATTTTATGTTAAGACATCAGTTTTAACATTTGTTTTAAAGTGCCAGAATTTCAAGATCATTAACAAAACATGTAGAGGCGAACCCACAAAGATGAACAACATACATGGATCCTTAGTAAACAAGAGTGGACGTGGAATCTCATTGTCCAATATTGAGGATGACATCTTGTTAATCAAATAACAAACAATGAGAATATCTCCACCCCAAAATTTAAAAGGTATGTGTGTGCATTGATTCATAAAGTTTGACCTGCATCAATGAAATGACGATGTTTACTTTCATTGTCACCATTTTGTTATGTTGCGCGGAGACAACTGTAGTGGTGTATATTACCATTTTGTCACTTTGCGAAATTCAAATTAGTTTTTCGAATTGATTCTTTAACTCTGAATGAAATGTTTGAAAGGAATCAAATAATTATGAACGATCCTTCAATATAATGATCAAGGTGCATCTAAATAATAATCGATAAAAGTGTATAATATTTGCGTCCCAAAGTAGATGACACTAAAATAGAACCCCAAACACCATAATGAACAATATCAAAATGAAACGTGGATGTTTTGTTGAAACTACTTAGAAAAGATAATTTGATTGCTAAACTTGATTGACTATCCAATGACTTTTAATGTAAAAGTTCATAAACCAACACCTTTAATTTACCTAAACTTTAATGATCCAAACAATGAAGAATGTTATTTGGAGATGCAAAAATGAAGAAATTATAGATCTTGTAATTTAAATCATATCTTAATCATTTTTCATGTATTACAAACATCTATAGAAAAAGACTTGGAAGATAATATTATGAAATAATTAAGAGTGCGAACAAGTTTACTTGAATAATTTGAATAAAATATTTTATAAATATCTATTATTTTAACAATTTTTTATTTTTTCATAAATAAAATATTTCAATCAAATTATCTTAAATTTTTTTAACATATTATTTTCCCCTTTTTAAATCACGCATCCAATCACATAATGAGGAATTAAATTGTCATTTTTTAATTTAAAAACCTAAACCGTCTTATTCTTAGCTTAGTAGATCAAACACCATTTACACTTATCAAATTATTATTATAATGAATAGTTTTAATTAGAGAAAACAAGATAAATATTTTATTCTTCGTACTTTTTTATGACAGAAATATTTGTTTACTATAAGAAAAATAATATGTAAAAAATTGACGTATCGTTAAAATTATACTTCTTTTTTTGTTGTTGTATTTCATTCCAAAAAGTAATAATAATATAATGATTGTAGAGTGAATGTTCAAGGTGGTATTTGAAATTAGAGTTATATTAACCCACTCCACCACATTAACAATATTCTAAAATGATCCATAAAATTGGAAAAGGTTAATCAACTTAGTTGCTACATTTTATTAAGAAAGATTTGCAAATGCACTAATCATGGACTAGTTGAACAAACAACATTGCTGGTTAAGATAAAGACAAAATTACAATTATTTTGTTGTACTTAATCAAACTTAGTTTCACCTTTACACTTTCATATAGATATGCTAATTTTTACTTTCATATAGATATGCTAATTTTTTTGTTTTGTTTTTCTTCAAGATTAAAGTAGAGTAATTAATAATTAATTGATCTAATCAATTTATTAAGTTGCTAAGCTTCCTTTAATGAACATACATCAGATAGTATAAGTAACACACTCAACCTACTTCAACAAACCCATTTTCAATTCTTACAATCAATGATGTTTCTTTTCCATTGAAGAAAAATATATATCAGATTTGGTCTCTATCTTCTCAGGGTGGAGATTCATTTACAAGTTTGCTTGGAATACACTACTACTATAGTTCGAGTCCAAAACAAGTAACAAAAAGGATCATGAATATATAAGGGATTTTCTATTTCAAAGATAGATAAATAAATAAAAATTAATTGTTGATAACTTATTGTAGAAGAGAGGTAAGTGAAGGAATGAAGATTAAAGTAGATACGGATAGGCACTTGAATGAGAAAATTATGATGTGATCTATTATCTCAATGTGCATAGGTTTTGGTTTCACTTTATTCATTCACTACTCAACCAACTAACTTTTTTTTTCTATGTAATGTTCGTTAAAGTGAAATGATTTCATTACAATTATACTCCTATATTGCATAGCTATATTAGTTATGCACACTAGTAACACACTCAATTGAATAACACCCTTTGTGATTGCTTAATCAACACACTCATCTTGATTATTGTTTTTAAATTGGTTTACATTTATTATGTATAAGCTCTACTATTTCTGAGGGAAAATGTAAAAGACTAATATGGTTTATATTTATTAGATATAAGCTCTATTATTTCTGAGCGAAAATGTAAAGACTACAAAATTAGGTTCAATAGTATTATAATAGACGACAAAATTAATTTTTATAACATATACGAATGAATTTTTTTTATTTGAGGTTGGGAGGGATCTTGTCTTTTATTTATTTTTTTAATTTAAAAAAAAACGTCGTTCTTGAAAATTATGATTGAGTTTAACACATATTTTATGTTTAAGACTGAACATCTGAAGCAAAAACATAAATGATAAATGATTTGATATTAGAAATCTCATAATAGATGATTCACTTAATTTTAAACAATCATCTCAAAAATTGTGACTGAAACTAAGTCAATTAAAAAAACCCGACTTATAAGATAAATATCACCCCCTTTTATAAACATATACACTACTACAAAATGCGCATTCAAGAACGCTATGTTCACCATGATTCTTATCTACACCGTGGTGACATCTTTAAAATGAGGTGCTGACATATTTATTTTGTTTATTGATTAAAAATTATTTGTATATAACAACGGTTGATGTACCAACTGTGGTGATATAATCAAATTTTCATGGGTTTGAACCTGAATGCCATAAAATATTTTATTCCTTTAACGTTAAGACACACCTTTTCTTTTTATTTATTTTAAAACTCACAAATAAAAGAGATATCGCTACGGTTGGTAGTGTTAACCGTTGTGAAATAGTTTACTCATATATAAGCGAATTAACTCTCACTTATAGATAGTAACGTCGTTTCCTTCACTAGGAAACCCTAGCATCCATTTTTCCCTTCTTCTTCTCCATTAGGCGTGAATCTTGTGTTTCATACATTAGTGTATGCTTCTTCTTCCATCTTCTTGTTAGATAGTTCCCCATTATCTCGTTTGTTACATGTTGCTTTTGTTGATTGTACTCCTTTTTTCAGATCCGTCTTCATTACCTTATCAAAGGAAACTTCATCCTCCTTGTATTTTGTTACAATTCCACGACTTCGTGTATATCTATTGATGATGTAAGTTGTTATATGATTTTCATACTTTGTTGACAAATAAGTTTGTTGTTACACATGTGGATAACTTTCATGGTTATTGTAGGTCTCAACAAGAACAAAACATTTTAGTAAATGAAGAAACAATGGCGACATCAAACTTCATCTAGTTTAAGAACCTATGAGAAGAAAGATAAGAATTATGAAGTTGTTGTTTAAACTTTTTACTCCTTATATTTCTTTTTAATAGCTTCACAAACTAGATGAATTTCTATTATTAGTTTCAATAAAAGGTACATCCTGAATGATATAATATGATGTTGTTTTGTTGATAAATGCTTTTGTATGTTGTTGTTGTAGTAGTTAAGTTTATTACATTCTATATAGATTGTTTGTTTCAATAACCCTCACTTAAATTACATTCATTTACATTGACATAGATACTTAAAATCTGAAAATTAAGTTGTAATTGAAAATTAATTTATATAAATCAATGTTTTTCGAATTGCATTTGTTTCATCATTCATCGCAAGCTCTTTAACATATAGAACATGGTATAATGATATGACTCCTTCATTACATCGATATCTTCTCATATAGTTTAATTTCAGTAACCACAATTTATAGGCTAAGTCTACCTCCTCATCATCCCTAATCATCGTAATTGTTATGATGATAAGTCATCAAAACAATCACGATGATAAGTGACGATGATGAGGTAGACTTAGTCAATAAATTGTGTTTATTGAAATTAAACTAGATGAGATTATATTGATGTCATGAAGGAACCACATCATTATACTATATTCTATATGTTAAAGAGCTAGAAATGAAAGATGAGACGCATGCAATTCAGAAAACAGTGGTTTATTTAAGTTGGGTTTCAAGAATAGTTCAATTTACAGATTATATACATCTCCATCAATTTGAATGCTTGTATTTCTTTAGTGAGGTGTATGGAAAAACAAGCAATCTACATATTATATTATAAATTCTGGTGACTTTCAACAACGGTTACTTACAGTAACCATAATCAAATGTAATTTATATGTCTATATCGCAACGGTTGTTACTGATAACCGTTGTGATTAGTAGCGCGCGTCCTGTCTTTCTATGACGGTTTTCAGACCATGGCGAAAAATGACTACTTACAACCACACCAACAATATGACCTGCGTGATGGTATCCTTATTTCAACTGTTGTGAATTAGATTTTCCATAATAGTAATATATCTGGAAAAATTTTCAAACTTGATGCATTTAAGAATGTGTGTTATATATAATTATTGATCTTAATTTGTAAACAATGTGAAACTATAAGATGGTCTGAAACAAATCCGAATCATTTGAATTTTCACTAAATATTTTTATTCATTAAGTTAAATGATAACTCATGTAACATATTTTTTTTTAATATTAAATTAACAAGTCCAAATCATGTGTATACATGTTACAACAATTGCGTAGGTGTGTATGTCTCTATCATTCACCAAACGAATTTATTAATGATATGTAACTTGACTTTATATACGTAATCATAGCATGCTTCACAACAAATTGAATTCAAAGGGAGTACCATATTTGTGCCTTACTATATATTACATCTATCTATATATTGTAGATGTCATATCTCAATACAAAGGGTTGCATTTTTTGTTGGATCAATTAATTAAGCTTCAATTTCAATTATCCTAAGAAAGAATGAGACAAAGATTGGAAAGGTTTGTCATTCTTCCTTTCTCCATTGGTTGTATCTCTGAAGCCAGTGTTGATGTTGGTGTTCCACATCCAAGAAGATCAAAATCAGACACTAACTCACCACATGATGCAATAAGTCTCTTCCTCTCTCTCTCTCTCAGCATTTGATAATATTTTCTCTAAAATATCTTAGGTTTTATATAATACATGATCTTTTATACTAATTTGATGATATGATACGATTAGAAGGACCTAAAGATGAGGAGGAGGATTCAGAGATTTTGTCCGGTGAAAGTATGAAGAATTCTTTAAGAGTACTCTTTGATGTTGTTCCAAAGCCTAACCTATCCTTCAACAAGTTGTTCAAAGGTTTCAAGAATTTTTCTCAATTGTTTGGTGAGTATGCACAAGCTTGGTTTTCACATTAATTTTATTGTCTCTATTTTAGTTGACCTCAAGTCCAATGAGCCTCGTTGAGTTGAGGTATAAGTCTTGTATATAAATTACTCTTATCATCGATTTTCAAACAATGTAAGACTATTTTGATTAATTTAAAATAGTTATTCCAATCAAGATTAAGAGACACAGTGCGAAATTCAAATTCTTACAGAAGACGACAATATTTTTATTGATCTAAAATCTGCATCATTACGGCTACGAGTTATCATCCGCTTTGGGTTAGAAAACCCTCACTAGTTTGTAATTTATAGAATGCATATAATTGAATTGATGTGTAATATATATATGCATTATATAAACTACCATTAATCTCAATTCTCAAGCAATATAATACTAGTTTCACTATTCAAAACAACCTTTAAATTAACTTATCTCTCTGTATTTGAATTTTGTTTGTATATTTTTAGTAGAGAAAGAGGAATTAGAAGAAGTGGAAATGGACATGGAAATAGGGTGCCCAACAGATGTTCAACATGTGACACACATTGGTTGGGATGGTGTGACAACCTCATTTGCTGACCTTCTATCCATACCAGCCAAAACATGAATAATCATCTGCATTCATGCTTTTTCCTATTACTAATTAATTCAAAATTGTATCTTATACATGAAACATGAAAGTGTGATTTTATTGTTGTGGATATATACAAATATTATACAAAGTATATTATATTAATGTTAGTCATGATTAATTTTCTATTAATCCTTTTCAATGATCAATTTCCATTAATATGTAGTTCAATAAAACATTAGAACATTGTTATAATGATAAACTGAGATTAATAAAATACAGCATGTAATTACAACCATCATCTCATTACCACACAAAAGCAACAGAAACTAAGAAAGATAGTTAATCGGTTTACTTAACAAAGTATGGAAGATCCAAAACATAAAGAAGAAAAAAAGCCCAAGTGACACCAGAAATTCCACCAAAGAAAAACCCACCAGTAAACTTGGCCCATCCATCTGCTGTCTGGAGCTGATCGGGCTGCTTCTTCCGGCCTGTCAAAGTCAATGCTGGAGCAGTTGATGCATCACCTTCGTTGAAGGATGAAACTCCATAGATTGTAAGACAAATGCTAAGGATAACAACAAGCCCAGCAGCTGCTAGAGAGCCTGCACTTCCGGCGTATTCGGTGTTCCTTAAAGGCCCGGCTTTCACAAATGGGCCTACGAGGAAGAACCCATGGGCTAAACCCACTTCAATACCTCTGAGTAGTGGGTTCACTGCAGTTCTATAGCCTGGTAGATTGGAGAGATACCATGCAACCAATGGGCTTGATGTCACCGGAGTTTCCAGGCTTCCGATGAATGGATCGCCGTTGATGGGCTGAACCACTTGGTATGTGGGCTGTCACACAGTGAAAGTTCCCAATTAAAAAATAAATTGTAAAAATATATTAATTTTCAACTCCGTGCCAGTTCAATCAGATATCTCAGAGATATTTTTCTGAAATATCTGATTGTACTGACACGGATTTGTATGCAAAGGATAGTAAAGTAATGTACCTTTTCGGATTGGATGGCCTTAACGGTGAAGTTAAATTGCCTTCTAGGAAATTGATGAAGTGGTGAAGAGCCACAAAGTCCCTTAGGTGTGACCAAAGGTCTAGTGAAGGTGGACTTGAGTTGGCTTGCCATAGGAGAAGCAGCTGCCATGGCTGAAGTTTTGATGATTATTTCACAACTTGTTGAAATGAGGACCGGAGTGGCTAGGTAAGTACTTTCATTTTAGTTCAATGCAAATTCAAGGTTGTGGCTGTTGAAGCTTCTTGCTTCTTATTGGTTGAAATGCATTTCAAAATCTTATCCCTTATCCAAAACACAACCTTTCTTATTTTGGGTGGAGTAGAAAAAGCCCATCTTTAAAGGCCCACTTGGAAAATCAGGGGGCTTCTCATATCATCATCATATTCATTACTACCTATAAATATTTATGGGAATTTCTTGTATATCTTGGGGGAAGTTTTAAAACTTCAAAATATTTTTTAGAGATGTATTTTCGAATCTATAATTTTTTATTTATATTTTTAGAGATATATTTCGAATTAACTATTTTTTTAAGAATCAAATACGTAATATTCGAACTGATAAAATATTAAAAAAATTAAAATCAATGTGTATCAATTATATTATCTTATTTATAATAAAAAATTAATACATTTTTAATTTAATGTTCAAATTAATTAATGAGTATTTTGGATAAAATAGAAACGTAGAATGTACTATCTTTTTAATGCATTTATAGTTAAAAATTTAGTATCATATTTGAAAAATTCATGACAATAATTAAATGTTATAGTACGGTATTTCATTTTCGTTTAGAAAACATAAAATAAAATAAAAAAACTAAATTTTATTAACTAATTGATTAGTTATAAATATTTGTTTTTAAAACGAAAATGCTTCAACAACTTTATTAACTATTAGGTATTATACTTTTTCTTATTTTAATTTTGATATATTTAAAAAATCCTAACTTTAAGTAATGCTTAATCACAAAAGTTAATTTTTATATATTATTTTATTTATTAAAGTCAAATAAAAATTATTTAGTTCGGTCGAATATTATATTATTATATTTTTAAATGCATTTAAAATTGTTAATTTTTATAATAAGATAATATAATTAATATAATTAATATAATTGATACACTTTGATTTTAAATTTTCTTAAATAATCAGAAAATATTTCGGAAGTGTACTTTCGAAAATACCTTATTTTTTATTAAAACAATAAGAGTTTGTTTTAGAAGTGTATTTGCGAAACATTCTCTGACACGGAATAAAATTTTTTGGTCTATTTCGAAAATGTACATTTGAATTCATAAAAAAAAATGAAATTTAGTAACTTTGAAAATATATTTCTGAAATCACCCCAGAAAAAATTAAATTCCATAACTTCGATAATACATCTCCGAAATTATCCCAGAAAAAATAAATTTTAGTGCGTTCGAAGATACATTTATGAATTCTGGAGATAAAAATGGAATTTCGCTAGAAATAATTAAAAAAATGTAAGGGTGGAGAAAGAAATTCTCATATTTATTTTACGTTTTTTTTTCAATTATACTTAACATCTCTATTTTTCGTATTGACTACTACGTCATTTTTATTATTTACTACATCTTAAAATAATATTTAGTTAAAAAATATCACTAAAAAACAGTAAAATTCAAAAAATTCAAGTATATTTAAAAAGTATAATTGTTTTTTTTTTACTAATATAAAATATATTTTTGCATCTTTACCGTATTTTTAAAATTGGGTATGAGTTTTTATCAGAATTTTTAAAATGTTATATATTTTTATTGAATTTTTGAAAATCTAATAGTTCATATCGGTATCGGGTAGGCATATAATTCCGATAAGTTTTGTAATTTTTGAAAAATTCAATAGTTCATATTTGTTATGAGCCGACCAGAAGACCCTAGGATAATCTATATCAGTCATGGCAGTGTAACCTGCAGTTAAGTAAAGGTCCCAGACCCTCAAGAACTTTTCGGATGGTTGAAGAAACTTAGTCTCAGGGCTCTGAGAGAAATAAATCGTAGAGCATTTCTAACGATCACCCGCAAAGAGCAGCACACAAATAGCTAGTTCCTTATTTTTTCCTATCTCTGTAAATATATGGTGGGCACCGAATTGAGGTAACTAGTTTCAAATACAATTTCTATTTCGCTCTTCTTCTCCACCGCATCGAAGGCACCGATCCACTGTCGCCTCCGCTTAAACTTCTCATTTCTGGTCGTTGTTATTGTTGTTGTTGTTGTTGTTTATTTGAGGTTGTTGTTGTTGTTTATTTGACGTTGTTGTTGTTGTTGTTTATTTGACGTTGTTGTTGTTGTTGTTTTTTATTTGACGTTGTTGTTGTTGTTGTTTATTTGACGTTGTTGTTATTGTTCTTTATTTGACGTTGTTGTTGTTATTTGACGTTGTTGTTGATGTTATTGTTGTTGTTGTTGTTTATTTGATGTTGTTGTTGTTGTTTATTTGACGTTGTTGTTGTTATTATTTATTTGACATTGTTGTTGTTGTTGTTTATTTGACGTTGTTTTTGTCGTTGTTTTTGTTGTTTATTTGACGTTGTTGTTGTTGTTTATTTGACGTTGTTGTTGTTGTTTATTTGACGTTGTTGTTATTGATGTTGTTGCTGTTGTTGTTTATTTGACGTTGTTGTTGTTGTTTATTTGACGTTGTTGTTGTTGTTGACGTTGTTGTTGTTGTTATTTATTTGACGTTGTTGTTGTTATTGTTGTTGTTATTGTTGTTGTTGTTGTTGTTGTTGTTTATTTGACATTGTTGTTGTTATTGTTTATTTGACGTTGTTGTTGTTTATTTGACGTTGTTGTTGTTGTTGACGTTGTTGTTGTTGTTGTTGTTGTTTATTTGACGTTGTTATTGTTGTTGACGTTGTTGCTGTTGTTGTTTATTTGACGTTGTTGTTGTTGTTGTTGTTCATTTGACGTAGTTGTTGTTGTATTTATTTGACGTTGTTGTTATTGTTGTTTATTTGACGGTGTTGTTGTAGTTGTTGTTTATTTGACGTCGTCGTTGTTGTTGTTGTTATTTATTTGACGTTGTTGTTGTTGTTGTTTATTTGACGTTGTTGTTGTTGTTGACATTGTTGGTGTTGTTGTTTATTTGACGTTGTTGTTGTTATTGTTGTTGTTGTTGTTTATTTGACGTTGTTGTTGTTGTTATTTATTTGACGTTGTTGTTGTTGTTATTTATTTGACGTTGTTGTTGTTGTTGTTATTGTTTATTTGACATTGTTGTTGTTGTTTATATGACGTTGTTATTGTTGTTTATTTGACGTTGTTTTTGTTATTTGACGTTGTTTTTGTTATTTGACGTTGTTGTTGTTGTATTTGTTGTTGTTGTTGTTCCTTATTTGACGTTGTTGTTGTTGTCGTTGTTGTTTATTTGACGTTGTTGTTGCTGTTGTTTATTTGACGTTGTTGTTGTTGTTTATTTGACGTTGTTGTTGTTGTTGTTATTGTTGTTGTTGTTGTTTATTTGACGTTGTTGTTGTTGTTTATTTTACGTTGTTGTTGTTGTTGTTTATTTGACGTTATTGTTGTTGTTGATGTTGTTGTCGTTATTTATTTGATGTTATTGTTGTTGTTATTTATTTGACGTTGTTAATGTTGTTGACGTTGTTGTTGTTGTTGTTGTTGTTTATTTGATGTTGTTGTTGTTGACATTGTTGGTGTTGTTGTTTATTTGACGTTGTTGTTGTTGTTGTTGTTGTTTATTTGACGTTGTTTTAGTTGTTGTTGTTTATTTGACGTTGTGATCGGTGGATCTGGAACTGACTGTTTAAAGCTGGTTCGTGAAATGTCGCGGAAGCAAGAGTCGCCACCGTCTTTTATTTTCTCCAAATGGAAAGGACAAAAGCACAGAAAAATTCCTTATAGAGATTGCTCTCGGTTCGGGAGGTAGATTTATAGAAAGGGAAGGTGTTAGCACCCTTTCTATCCATGGTTATCCATGGGCTCTTAGATACTTGCTCATTTGTGTTTTCAAAAAGTTTGTTTGCTTTTCAATTGTGGGTTTAAAAAGTTTCTTTGAAAATTTCAGTTCGACTCTTGTATCAGTCCTCAAGAGTGTTTGAAAATTTGCTTTTGAAAGCTTTTTGAAAAGGTGTCGGTGTGAAAAGAAGTTTTTGATTTTGTTTTGAAATTAGAGCAAGTATCTACGAGAATCTACCTACCCTAAGGAATTCGTCTGTGTAAATGTCCTTAAAGTAATGCCATCCCACCATTGAGAGGTAGGTTGCACCACCGTTGGAGGTGTTCGGGTCAATTCGAGGGTTCGGGACATGGTGATCACCAGAACAATTGGAAGACACCTTAGAAGCTACCCTCATGCCATGTTCATGGACATGAGGACTTACTAAAACATCCTCTACTCGACGACCACCTTTCGAGGGGCAAGGCAACAATGAGGCGTACCCTAGGGATGGTGTGTGATTTGTATGTCATGTTCATTTATGTTTATTTTGTTCATGCATTGGTGATCTACGCGTTGTTTTTATTTTTGGCATTCATTCTTTCATGCAAATTATTAACAGTTAGAAAAAAATACGGAATTAAAAGTCCTACGCTATTACAAAGGCGCGGGTCTACATCGCCAAATTAATCCAAGACCCGATTTGAATAAAATAAAATGCGGAAAGATAAATGTCTAATTAATCTATTACATAGCTTTGGGGCAATTACATTATATTCATAAAAAGAAATAAAAATAAAATGCGAGAAGAAGTAAAGTCGGGAATGCGAGGGCGTTGGACCCTTTTAAGGAAATTAAATTACAATTAATAAATTAATTAAGTTAAATGAGAAAAGGAAATTATTTTTGAGTTTTTGTATTTATGGAATTAGTAAGAAAATTAAATGAAATTAAAACCCTAATTCTAAACTATTTTTAATTTATTAAAAAAATGTTTAAATCTAACCTAGTTTTAATTAATTATTTACATGGCAATTTATGTACAAAAAATAATTAATAATTAAATATGGTAAAAGAAGAGAAAAAGAATAAAGTATTGAAACCCTAATTCTACATTTTTTAGTTTATTAAAAAAAACATTAAAATTAAACCTAGAATTAGCTAAATTAATTAATAAAATTTATTCACAAAAAAAACATTTAAAT